AATGCGACCCTGCCATCTTTTATTGAAGAGGGAGGGGGGGGCCGGGCAGGGATACGCACCCAGCCACCGGCTCGCAGCCTCTCTCCCCGGTTCCGCCATGCGGGAGGGCGCTGTGAGGCTGCGGCTGGAGCTGGGACTAAACAAACACGGGAGACCGGGGGCTTTCCGTGACCTTTCCACCCGCCACCCGTCCCCAGACCCGCCCCCTCCACACCCCCAAACCGGCCGCCAGCCCTGCGCTCTCGTCCGCTCCTCTCGGCCATTTCCAACAACGGACAGAACCGCTTCCTCACTTCCGGTTCCCCAGGTTCCCGAGGGCTGCGCTCCGTCTCCGGCCTTGACCTAGATCTTGACCTTGACCCTGACCCTGAGTGTCGGTGTCCATGCCGGCCCCTCAGGTCCTCGCCGCTCCGGGGAGAGTGAGTGGAGTGCATTTGGGCGCACCGGGCAGAGGGGCAGTCACCGCGTCTCGCTCCCAAGCACAGAGGGTGCCTGCGGTTTTTAAAATATTACACCGGAGCCCGCGGGGCCTTCTCATTCTTAGAAGCGAACCTGGTGAAGCCGGCTCCCGCCAGGAGGTATTGGGTTGTCTTTGTTTAAACTGATTTCAGAGAGGAAGGGAGAGGGATGGAGAGAGAAACATCACTGAGGAGAGACTCATCGATTGGCGGCAAGAGGGCACGTGCCCTGACCCCTGACCTGCCAGGTCATAGGTGAGGCTCCGCCCCTGAGCCACGCCCGCGGGACGTGGCTTTTCTGTGTCTGTCTCCTCGTGGCTGGAGGGCCCCGAGCAGGAGCGTCCATCCGGCTGTCTGTCCATCAGACATCGGGACCGCGAGGGCCACATTCAGACTTGGGTTTTGCCGAAACCGGTGTGGCTCAGTGGATAGAGCGTCAGCCTGCAGACTGAAAGGTCCCAGGTTCAATTCCGGTCAAGGGCATGTGCCTTGGTTGTGGGCACATCCCCAGTGGGGGTGTGCAGGAGGCAGCTGGTCAATGTTTCTAACTCTCTATTCCTCTCTCTTCCGCTCTGTAAAAAAATCAATAATATATATAAAAGACTTGGGTTTCCTCAGGCACCTTCGCAGCCACACACAGAATCTTTGTTAGACTCCCTCTTCCCGCCCTCACGTTATGTACTGATTATTTTTCTAATCCCCCCGAGGTTATTTTTCCCATTGATCTTTAGAGAGAGTGGGAAGGAGTGGGGGGGGAGAGAGAGAGATACACTGATATGAGAGAGACATATCAATGGGTTGCCTCCTGCACATGCCCCGACTGGGACTGGGGGTCGAACCTGCCACCGAGGTCCCAGCCCTGGACCCGGTAGTGAACGTGAGACCTTTTGGTCCCAGGCTGGCGCTCTGACCGCTGGGCACACCGGCCAGGGCTTCCTGCCACCGTTCTCCTTCTCCGCGTCACCTGGGACCTTGGCAGGGTCAGTGAGACCCAACACGTTCCAAGCGTCACTGGACTTTATCGACCTGTTGTTCTGGCTTGAGGTCCCCCCTCCCCCAGACGTAGCTGGCCCCAGCGGCCCTGCCTGGCCTACAGGACTCTTTCCTGGGAGGGGCCCCCAGGCAGTGCGGCTCCTCCCTCTGCTCTGTGCAGCCCCACCACCAGGGGGCGCAGGTGAGAGCACAGGGCCCCTCGCCCCCACGGGTGGGCTGCTGAGACCGGTTCCGGGGGATCCAGGTGGGTCTTTGCACGGCCTGCCTCAGGCCGGCGGGAGATGCTCGGTGAAACGGAGCTGCCGTGTGTCCCAGCGGGCGGCGTTAATCAGTAACCGTCCTGTTTGCCTTCCCAGGGCCTCCCGCCCAGGTGGCCGGCCCACGGAAGGTCAGGACCCCGCAGGCTCGGCCCCGGGCTCCGGGCGGGTCTGGAATGAACCGGGACGGGGATGGCCGCCTCCCTGCCCCCGCCGCCCGGCGCCGGCAGGCCCTGCCTCTGAGCTCCAGCAGCGGATGGGCCTGTGTGCCCGTCACCAGCCACGGCGAGGGCGAGGGCGAGGGCGAGGGCGAGGGCGAGGGCGGTGCCGTCCCGGGCCAGCTGCGGGGGCGCGGGGGGCTGCCCTGGGCTGTTGTTTGGGTTTGGGGTTGAGTTTGATTTTAGCTGAAACCCCCTGAGCCCGCCCCCTGGTCTTCTAGAAACCTGCACCTCCTGCGCAGACCCGGCCACAGCGGAGACGTGGTGCGTGGCCTCCCGGCGCCCTAACGTCACGGAGTCCGGCCCCTTTGGCCTCAGCCCCCGGCCGGCCACACCACCCAGTTCTGCGGGCTCCGTGGACTCCGTGTGTGGCTGTGCTCTGGCTGTGCTCTCATGTGCCCATTTTCCAGATGCTGACCCTGAGGCCGGTGCTGCCTCCAAGCCCAAGGGCTTCCTGGGCCATGCCCCTGGGGGAGGGCACGCGTGCCGGCGGCAGGTGGGGTGCCCCGGCCACTTCACTGGCTGCCACTCCTGCCCGACCGGGATTTCCATCGGCCGCCGGCCGGTCTGGCTCCTCGTTAGCGTGGCCCTCGGTCCTCGCGCCCCCTCCGCTGTCTCTGGGCGCCCGTTGGGGTCGCCGGAGTCACAGGACCCAGCACTGGTGTCTGCTGGGTGGCCCCCCTGACGGCCGACGCTGCACCTCTCCCGCCGTCCAGAGCGCCCGACGGGGCCCCTCACCCTCAGGTCACGACCCTCACCTCCAGTCATGACCCTGACCCCCAGGACGTGACCTTTACCCCGGGTCATGACCTCGCCCCAGGGAAGGCTGGGGCACCTCTTTGTCTCTGAGCTGCGAGTGTTTAAAGTCACAGCTGCAGATGTGGCTCCAGGGCACCTGGCGCTGTGACTGTCATCACCGTGGGCCAGAGCTCAGCGACCACATGGACGCGGGCCCCGGACACCCCCTGGACCCCGGGCGGGTGTGGTTCCAAAGCTCCGAGGCCCTGCCTGTGCGCCCGCCCCGGGAGCCGGGCCCTCCCCCCCGGGAGCCGGGCCCTCACTCCGGAGCCGGGCCCTCACCCCCGGAGCCGGGCCCTCACCCCCAGGGAGCCGGGCCCTCCCCCCCGGGAGCCGGGCCCTCACCCCGGAGCCGGGCCCTCACCCCCCAGAGCCGGGCCCTCACCCCCCAGAGCCGGGCCCTCACCCCCGGGAGCCGGGCCCTCACCCCCGGGAGCTGGGCCCTCCCCCCGGAGCCGGGCCCTCACCCCCGGGAGCCGGGCCCTCACCCCAGAGCCGGGCCCTCACCCCGGAGCCGGGCCCTCACCCCCCGGAGCCGGGCCCTCACCTCCGGAGCCGGGCCCTCACCCCGGAGCCGGGCCCTCACCCCCGGAGCCGGGCCCTCACCCTGGAGCCGGGCCCTCACCCCGGAGCCGGGCCCTCACCCTGGAGCCGGGCCCTCACCCCGGAGCCGGGCCCTCCCCCCCCGGAGCCGGGCCCTCACCCCGGAGCCGGGCGGGGTGGGAACCTGACGCGGACGGAAGGCACTGTGTGTGCCATGGGCACTCCTGTCCCGGCCCAGGGCACCGGCTGCTGAGCCTGTGGAGCCCGCCGGCGGCTCCCGCGCTGTAATTAGGTGCCTGGGCGGTGCCAGGCGCTGGCCTGTGATTACCCGGCGCCCGCACGCCGGCTCGGGAGGGCCGCCTCGCCCGGATGGAGGGCAGACCCGCCCCCAGGCTTCCTCCGTGGGAGGACGGGCCCGTGCACGGGGTCTCCCGCCTCTGGGGGTGCAGGGGCGGGTTTATTTGGGGAAGAGAAGCGGCTGCGGGGGATGGACCGGCCTGAGCTCATGGCCGCGGGGCCGCAGGACGGTGCGGGCGGCCAGGCCAGCGGGCGCGGGTCCCGTGCGTTTTCCTGTGGAGCCTCCGGGCCTGGGGGCTGTGGGCGCCACTGAGCAGCTGCTGCCCCGTATCAGGTCCTCGGAGCCGGGGAGGCACCCGGCCTGGCCTTCACCCCTCCCCAGCCCTGGTTCTCACCGGCTCGGCCCTTCCTGGACCCCTGCCCGGAGCTGGGGTCACCGTGTCCCCGGCACCCGCCGGGCCGCGCTGGGCAGCGGCGCCCCCTCCTGGCCTTTGCGAGGACGTCAGTGCCTGGCTCGGCAGGAGCTGCGCCCCAGCTCCACACTCTCGGGGACCATGAGGCCCTGATGGCGGCCTCCATCCTGGGCCGGCTGCTCAGTCCTGGGCCGGCCCTGCCCTGGGCCCGGGTTTGAGTTTCCTGTCCCAGCTCCGTGCATGGGCACCGCTGCGACCTCAGCCGCCCTTCCTGCCGCCAAGGCGAGCGTTTCCTCTCCCCTGGAAAGTCCTGGAAAGTTCTGGAAAGTTCTGGAAAGTTCTGGAAAGTTCCAAACTGCCCGCCCCGGTTAGTCCCGCACACCAGCCATGGCTGCGGCTCATAAGGGAGAGGGAGAGAGAGAAACAAATGATGGATCGGCTGCCTCCTGCATGCCCCCACTGAGGACTGAGCCCTCAGCCCAGGCCCGTGCCCTGTGCCCTCCTGGCTCCTGGGTCACCCTCCACCGCTGAGCCCCGGCCGGCGGGGCCAGGGCTCCCTTAAGTCTGGTGCCAGCTCTGGGCGGAGCTCGAGGGGCCTCACTGGTCCCGGCTGTGCCTGCGACTCGGCCCCGGGAGGTGGGGCACCCGCTCTCACCCCCTCTGAGACCGGGCTGCTCACACAGGGCCCGCGCGCCCACAGCACCAATGGCGCCCACTTGGGCGCCCGGTAACACCCCGTCCCCCCAGGCAGGCGCCCGGTAACACCCCGTCCCCCCAGGCAGGCGCCCGGTAACACCCCGTCCCCCAGGCGGGCGCCCGGTAACACCCCATCCCCCAGGCGGGCGCCCGGTAACACCCCATCCCCCAGGCGGGCGCCCGGTAACACCCCGTCCCTCCAGGTGGGCGCCCGGTAACACCCCGTCCCCCAGGCGGGCGCCCGGTAACACCCCGTCCCCCAGGCGGGCGCCCGGTAACACCCTGTCCCCCCAGGCGCCGGCGCCCGGTAACACCCCGTCCCCCCAGGCGCCGGCGCCATGCCGCGCAGCCCCACGTCCAGTGAGGACGAGATGGCCCGCAGCGTCTCCGACTACTCCCTGGGCTCCGAGTCCGACAGCTCCAAGGAGGACACCGTCTACGACACCGTCCGGGCCCCGGCGGGCAGGCCGGGCCCCGCGCTGGTCATCCGCATCATCATCCAGGACCTGCAGCAGACGGTGAGCCTGTCCTCCCACCACACACACACACACACACACACTGCCCTCCCATACACACACTCACACACTGCCCCCCCCATACACACACACACTGCCCCCCCCATACACAAACTCACACACTGCCCCCTACACACACACACACACTCACACACACACACTCACACACACACACACTGCCCCCTACACACACACTGCCCCCCACACACACACACACACACACACTGCCCCCTACACACACACACACACACACACACACTGCCCCCTACACACACACACACACACACACACTCACACACTGCCCCCTACACACATACACACACACACACACACACTCACACACACACACACTGCCCCCTACACACACACACACTGCCCCCTACACACACACACACACACACACACTCACACACACACACTCACACACTCACACACTCACACACTCACACACACACTCACACACACACACACACACACACACTGCCCCCTACACACACACACACTCACACACACACACACACACACACACTGCCCCCTACACATACACACACTCACACGAACGCACACGCACAGCACACTCACACGCACGCACACACACACACACACGCACACGCACACGCACACGCACACGCACACGCACACGCACACGCACACGCACACAGCTGGCCTTCCCCCGCCCCTGCTCCCTGCGGGCAGGGGCCTGGCGCAGTCTCCTCCTCCCAGTCGCTCTGTCAGAGGAAAACTGCGGCCGGTCCCGCTGCGCCACCTACTGGCCACGCCCTGCAGATGCCGTTGCCGGGCGGTCCCCTGCCCGGCTCCTCGGGGCCCAGCTCCGGGGGTCTCATGGGCGGCCGTGCCCTCTTGCCCCCTGAGCCCCACCCTCCGGGCCTGGCGTTAGAGCCTCAGGGAGAGCAGAGGCTGGTGCGGGGAGGGCTGGGCGCTGGCACGGCCCCGTGCCCACCTCCACCCCCGGACACCAGCCGCTCCGCCGCCTCATGCCCAAGCCCTCTGTGCATGCCCCTCAGTGGGAGGTCAGTGGTGGGGTCAGTGATGGAGGTCAGTGATGGGGGCCAGTGGGAGGTCAGTGGTGGGGTCAGTGATGGGGGTCAGTGGGAGGTCAGTGGTGGGGTCAGTGATGGGGTCAGTGGTGGGGTCAGTGGGAGGTCAGTGGGAGGTCAGTGGTGGGGTCAGTGGTGGGGTCAGTGGGAGGTCAGTGGGAGGTCAGTGGTGGGGTCAGTGGGAGGTCAGTGGTGAGGGTCAGTGATGGGGGTCAGTGGGAGGTCAGTGGTGGGGTCAGTGGTGAGGGTCAGTGGGAGGTCAGTGGTGAGGTCAGCGGTGAGGTCAGCGGTGAGGTCAGTGGGAGGTCAGTGGTGAGGTCAGCGGTGAAGTCAGTGGGGGTCAGCGGTGAGGTCAGCGGTGAGGTCAGGGGTGAGGGTCAGTGGTGAGGTCAGTGGGAGATCAGCGGTGAGGTCAGCGGTAGGGTCAGTGGGAGGTCAGTGGTGGGGTCAGTGGGAGGTCAGTGGGAGGTCAGCGGTGAAGTCAGCAGTGAGGTCAGGGGTGAGGTCAGGGGTGAGGGTCAGTGGTGAGGTCAGCGGTGAGGTCAGTGGGAGGTCATTGGTGAGGTCAGTGGTGAGGTCAGTGGTGGGGTCAGTGAGAGTCAAGGCTACAGAAACCAGTGTCTCCTTCTCAGCATTTACAGGGACCGGGTACCTGCCCCCCAGCAATAAGAGGGCCTCGCTGTCCATCCTGAGAAGCTGCAGGGGCAGGGGCGGGGCGGTCTGGGCGGAAGCACCTTTGCCATCCTGCCCGTGCCCGGGGCCGCGGGGCGGGGTGGGCGCGGGGTCACCGGCTCCTGTCCTGCCCGCAGAAGTGCCTCCGCTTCGACCCCGACGCCACGGTGTGGGTGGCCAAGCAGCGGGTGCTGTGCTCGCTGAACCAGAGCCTCAAGGACGTGCTCAACTACGGGCTGTTCCAGCCGGCCCGCGCCGGCCGCGCCGGCAAGTTCCTGGACGAGGAGCGGCTGCTGCGCGAGTACCCGCAGCCCGCCGGCCCCGGCGTGCCCGCCCTGGAGGTAGGACAGCCGTGCGCTCCCTGTGGATCCCACGGGCACGGGCGGGCCCGCCCCCTCACGGCACCAGGACCCGGAGTCCCCGATGCGGGCCCGCTGGCCGGCCTCCCAGCCCCTCCTGCCCGGCGCCCCCCGGGGTGTGGAGCACCACCTCCTCTCCTCCCGCCCCGGTGATGGGGAAGGTGGGGGCGCCCCTGGCCTCCGGGGCGACGTGCTGGGCGGCCTTATCACGGCCACTCCGGTCCCGGCCGCCTGAGCCCGGTGCTGCCCCGAGGCAGGCGTGTTTGCACGGTGAGGCCGGCGCACGGGTGGCCACACTGCGGCCCTGGCTCCTCGCAGCCGGTCCCAGCGCGGCCTTCCGTGTGGATCGCAGCCGCACGCGAGCCATTGGGGCCTGGGGGGAGCGGGGTCTGCAGCCTCCGGGACGGGAGGGCCCTGCGGTGGATGCTGTGGGGGTGATCAGAGGCCCCAGCTCGGAACTCAGGCCGCCCCCGGGTCAGGCCTCCTAAGCCTGGAGCTTCCCCGGGGCGTCTGCCCAAAGGGGGTCAGGGCCCGGAGAGGCAGGGGTGAAGGCCGGGGATCAGGAGGCCACCCCACACCCACACCCACACCCACACCCACTCGCACACCCACTCCCACACCCCACATCCACACCCACTCCCACACCCACTCCCACTCCCACTCCCACTCCCACACCCACTCCCACACCCACTCCCACTCCCACACCCACACCCACTCCCACACCCACTCCCACTCCCACTCCCACACCCACTCCCACTCCCACACCCACTCCCACTCCCACTCCCACTCCCACACCCACTCCCACACCCACTCCCACTCCCACTCCCACTCCCACACCCACTCCCACTCCCACTCCCACACCCACTCCCACACCCACACCCACTCCCACACCCACACCCACACCCACACCCACTCCCACACCCACTCCCACACCCACACCCACACCCACTCCCACACCCACACCCACTCCCACTCCCACTCCCACTCCCACACCCACACCCACTCCCACACCCACACCCACTCCCACTCCCACTCCCACACCCACTCCCACACCCACACCCACACCCACTCCCACACCCACACCCACTCCCACTCCCACACCCACACCCACTCCCACACCCACACCCACTCCCACTCCCACACCCACACCCACTCCCACACCCACACCCACACCCACTCCCACACCCACACCCACTCCCACACCCACACCCACACCCACACCCACACTGCCCTCCCTCTTCGGCCTCCACAGACGGGCTGGGCTCCGGCGTGGCCTCCGGTCAGAGGTCCTGCTGGCCGGGCAGGCGGCGTGGCTCTGGGGCAGCCCCCACGCAGGCGCCCCCTCCCCACGGAGGCCTCCTCCCCGGGGTCGCTGTGTCTCTTTCCCACCTCGCAGCGCGGCTGCGGGGCTCCCTGTGCTTTCCAGGCAGTGCTGGGCCGGGACGGTGTGCCAGTTCCGTGGCCCCGGGCGGTGCTGGGCCCGGCGCGGGGCGGCGGTTCCGTGGCCCCAGGCGGTGCTGGGCCCGGTGCGGTGTGCCGGTTCCGTGGGCCCGGGTGGTGCTGGGCCCGGTGCGGTGTGCCGGTTCCGTGGCCCGGGCGGTGCTGGGCCCGGTGCGGTGTGCCGGTTCCGTGGCGCTGGGGTGTGGGCGCCCGCTCCGTGGCTGGCGGAGAGGCGGTCCCCTGAGCCGCGGGGAGCGCTCACCATCCTCTCTCCGGCCCGGCAGTTCCGGTACAAGAGGCGGGTGTATGGACAGCGCCCCCCGGACGAGAAGCAGCTGGCCAGGCTGCACAGCAAGGTAGGCAGCCCAGTTGCCCCGCGCTGTCTGTCTGTCTGACTGCCGGCAGCCATCACAGTGTCTGTCTGTCTGTCTGTCTGTCTGATGGCGGCCATCCCACTGTCTGTCTGTCCATCTGCCGGTGGCCATCCCGCTGTCTGTCTGTCCATCTGCCGGTGGCCATCCCGCTGTCTGTCTGTCCATCTGCCGGTGGCCATCCCGCTGTCTGTCTGTCCATCTGCCGGTGGCCATCCCGCTGTCTGTCTGTCCATCGGCCGGTGGCCATCCCGCTGTCTGTCTGTCCATCGGCCGGTGGCCATCCCTTGTCTGTCTGTCCATTGGCCGGTGGCCATCCCGCTGTCTGTCTGTCCATCTGCCGGTGGCCATCCCGCTGTCTGTCTGTCCATTGGCCGGTGGCCATCCCGCTGTCTGTCTGTCCATCTGCCGGTGGCCATCCCGCTGTCTGTCTGTCCATTGGCTGGTGGCCATCCCGCTGTCTGTCTGTCCATCTGCCGGTGGCCATCCCGCTGTCTGTCTGTCCATTGGCCGGTGGCCATCCCGCTGTCTGTCTGTCCATCTGCCGGTGGCCATCCCGCTGTCTGTCTGTCCATCTGCCGGTGGCCATCCCGCTGTCTGTCTGTCCATCTGCCGGTGGCCATCCCGCTGTCTGTCTGTCCATTGGCCGGTGGCCATCCCGCTGTCTGTCTGTCCATCTGCCGGTGGCCATCCCGCTGTCTGTCTGTCCATCTGCCGGTGGCCATCCCGCTGTCTGTCTGTCCATCTGCCGGTGGCCATCCCGCTGTCTGTCTGTCCATTGGCTGGTGGCCATCCCGCTGTCTGTCTGTCCATCTGCCGGTGGCCATCCCGCTGTCTGTCTGTCCATTGGCCGGTGGCCATCCCGCTGTCTGTCTGTCCATCTGCCGGTGGCCATCCCGCTGTCTGTCTGTCCATCTGCCGGTGGCCATCCCGCTGTCTGTCTGTCCATCTGCCGGTGGCCATCCCGCTGTCTGTCTGTCCATTGGCCGGTGGCCATCCCGCTGTCTGTCTGTCTGCGGCATCTTCTCTGAGCTCAGGGCGGCTCTGCGGTAGAGGTTCTCCCCGCCTGACTTAACCGCACGGCGGTTGCCCCGGCTCCCAGCGAGGACAGGGCAGGAACCGGGCGGTGCCCGGCAGGCCGGCTGCGGCAGACTCACCTGGGGCCCGGGCAGAGGGCCGCCTGGCCGCCCCGGGGTTGGCAGGGGCCCGGCGGGGCGGCTCCCTCCCTGGCGGAGGCCGAGGCGCCGTGAGGAGCCCCCGCGGCCTCTGCAGGCGTCTCCGGTGCAGACGCCCTGGCTGTCCGCCTCCCCCAGACCAGCCTGCGGAAATGCATGGACTACGTGCAGCACCGCTCGGTGGAGAAGATGGTGAAGATGCTGGACCGGGGCCTGGACCCGAACTTCCACGACCTGGACACGGGCGGTAAGCGTGGCAGACGGTGCCCGTCCCGCGTGGGCAGCGTCCACGGCCGGGCTTCAGGGCGCTCGCTCGCCCCCGGTGTCTCCGGCGTCCGCACGTGCTCAGTACACACCTGCTGACTGAGTGAATGAGTGAATGAGTGAACGAATGATGCCACACACGGCGCTGCTGTGTTCGCGAGGGTCTTGCCCCTCCTGCTGGGAACCAAGCCCCTCCCTCGTGGGGATGAAATGGCCCCCGGTTCTCAGGGTGCCTGGTGACATGGGGCGCTAGGGTTTCTCCCTTCCTACCACCTTCCCTCCTCCTCTCCTCCTTCTCTCCTTCCCTCTTTCCCTCCTTCTCTCTCTCCCTCCATTCCTCTCTCTATTGTTAATCCTCACCTGAGGATAGTTTTTCCATTGATTTTTTGAGAGAGAGAGAGAGAGAAAGGGAGGGGGAGAGGGAGCGAAATATCGATGTGAGAGACACACATGGATTGGTTGCCTCCCGCACGTGCCCTGACCAGGACTGGGGATCAAGCCTGCAACTGAGATACGTGCCCTTGACCAGAATCGAACCCGGGACCCTCAGTCTGCAGGTTGATGCTCTAACCACTGAGCAAAATTGTCCAGAGCTCTTTTTCTTTCTTTCTTTCTTTTTTTTAAAATTCCAAATGAGCACCAGCTGTTATTTAATCTTAGTTTGTCTCCCCCTCTGTTTCCTAGGGTGAGAGATCTGCACCACTGTATCGGTGCTGCCGCGGGGTGTGTGTGTGTGTGTGTGTGCGCGCGCGCCCTCCTCACGTGGTTACAGTCTCTTTTCTACGATGAGAACTTCCAGAATCTGCTCTCTTAGCAACTCTTTTTATTTTTTAAGTGTATTTTATTGTTTTCAGAGAGGAAGGGAGAGGGAGAGAGAAACATCAACGGGTTGCTGCCTCCTGCCCACCCCACACTGGGGACCAAGCCAGCAACCCGGGCTGTGCCCTGACCTGGAATCGAACCTGGTTCATAGGTCGACTGTCAACCACTGAGCCATACCGGCCCGGCAGCAACTTTCAGAATGCAGCACCTCCACTGGCTGCACACACACACACACACACACACACAGGCCCCGGGACCTGCTCCCCGCACGGCACAGCCGGAGGCCCCTCCCGCCCCAGCGGCTTCCAGCGCCCCTGGTGGCTGTGGCCCGGACTGTCTGTCTGTCTGTGTGTCTGCCCCTTGGCCTCAGCCCCTCCAGGCCCTCCAGGCCCAGCGGCAGCTCTCCTTCCTCTGTGCCCGGTTACCTCCTGTTGTGTGTGGGGGGGATGCGCTGCTCGGGGACCCTTTAGGCTGGGCTGCGCCGGGACCCAGCGGCCCCCCCAGGGCTGGTCTGAGGGTGTGCGTCCCCCAGAGGCGCCCCTGACCCTGGCGGCCCAGCTGGAGGACTCGGCGGAGGTGATCAAGGCGCTGCGGAACGGCGGGGCGCACCTGGACTTCCGCGCCCGGGACGGGCTGACCGCGCTGCACAAGGCCGCCCGCGCCCGCAACCAGGCGGCCCTCAAGGTGCGGTGGGCCATGGGGCCGGGGTGCCCCCCCCCTACTCACACCAGCCAGGTGACCGCGGGGGCGGGGGCGGGCCGGCTGTCCTGCGCCCCCGGTTCCGGCCGTGGCAGCGCTGTGCCGGCCTCTGTGCCGCCAGGCAGGCCGTGTCCCCGCGGCCAGCCGACCTCCGTTCCCCCAGACCCTCCTGGAGCTGGGCGCGTCCCCCGACTACAAGGACAGCTGCGGCCTCACCCCGCTCTACCACACGGCCATCGTGGGCGGCGACCCCCGCTGCTGCGAGCTGCTGCTGCGGGAGCGGGCGGCCGTGTGCTGCCCGGACGAGAACGGCTGGCACGAGATCCACCAGGTGCGGCCCGCGGGCAGGGCCCGGGCGGGCAGGGCCCCTCCGGGCGGCCCCGCGGGCAGGGCCCCGGGTGGGCAGGGTCCCTCCGGGCGGCCCCGCGGGCAGGGCCCCGGGTGGGCAGGGTCCCTCCGGGCGGCCCCGCGGACAGGGCCCCGGGTGGGCAGGGCCCCGGGCGGGCAGGGCCCCGGGTGGGCAGGGCCCCGGGCGGGCAGGGCCCCTCCGGGCGGCCCCGCGGGCAGGGCCCCGGGTGGGCAGGGTCCCTCCGGGCGGCCCCGCGGACAGGGCCCCGGGTGGGCAGGGCCCCGGGCGGGCAGGGCCCCGGGTGGGCAGGGCCCCGGGCGGGCAGGGCCCCTCTGGGCGGCCCCGCGGGCAGGGCCCCGGGTGGGCAGGTCCCCTGGTGGGCAGGGCCCCTCCGGGCAGCCCCGCGGACAGGGCCCCGGGTGGGCAGGGCCCCTCCGGGTGGCCCCGCAAACAGGGCCCCGGGTGGGCAGGGCCCCGGGTGGGCAGGGCCCCGGGTGGGCAGGGCCCCGGGCGGGCAGGGCCCCGGGTGGGCAGGGCCCGGGTGGGCAGGGCCCCGGGCGGGCAGGGCCCCGGGTGGGCAGGGCCCGGGTGGGCAGGGCCTCGGGTGGGCAGGGCCCCTCCGGACAGGTCCCCTGGTGGGCAGGGTAGCGCCCTCTGCTCCTCCCACACCCGCTCCTCCCACACGAGCCTGGTTCTTCCTCTCCTCCAGGCCTGAACAGGAGCGGCGCTGACAGGGCAGGGCGCCCGGGGCAGGAGGGAAGGGGCAGGCGGGCTGGTTCCGCTCTGTGATCTGGGGCATCTGGCTCCTGCAATTAAAGTCTGTCCCCCCTGCCCCCCTGCCCTCCCGCTCCCCCCCCTCCCCCGGTAGCACCCCGGGGTGTGGACAGCTCTGTCCCAGCGTATCTGGCTCCGCTTCCTCTCAGGATCCCGGGTGCCCACGCCAGGCCTGCCCACGGGTGCTGCAGGTGGCATCGCCCAGGACAGGCGGCTTCCCCAGCCAGGGCCCAGGCACCGCCGCTGGGGTGCCCGCCCCCTGCAGGCTGACTCGGGAAGAGCGGTTTTTTGAGCTCATGTCTGCAAAGGGTCTTGGAAATTGTCACTCAAATGCCCCCAGTTTTTCCTGAAACAGCCTTCCGGCCGGAGATCTTTCACAAACGAAGTAGAAAGAAGGAAGTAGTGCCCGGCCGGCGAGGCTCAGGGGCTGAGCGTCGACCTGGGAACCAGGAGGTCAGGGTTCGGTTCCAGGTCAGGGCACAGGCCCGGGGTGCAGGGCGTGCAGGAGGCAGGCGACCAGTTACTCTCTCATCGTTGATGTTCTATCCCTCTCTCCTCCTCCCTGCAAACAATAACATTTGTTATTATTTGTTTGTTTTAATAACATTTATTCTTCTAACGAAGAAGGAAGAAGCACCCGGATGCTTCCCACAACCTGAGAAATTGTGGTTTTAATTGCTGGGTAGTTTCAGGCCTGCCTGCTCCCTCCCGCCCCCTCGCTCCCGCCTGGGCCCCGGGGGCTGTGCACTGAGAGGCCAGCTGCTGGGCAGAGGCCGGTTCTTTCCCACAAACCTTGGTGTGTAGCCGGGACATGTGACTGGCCTACGTGGGGGCCACGGGGGTCAGTGAGTCATAACTTCTCGCTCAGGACAGTTCAGTGAAGAAACTCATGGGGAGCACCTGGCATCCAGTGACTGCACAGTATATGCCCACCGTTATCATTGTCATGGTTACTACTTGGCCACGCCCCGTCACCTTGCTCCTCCCCTCTAGCCACGCCCCCACCGTCAACCTCAGAGCACGCCCCATCACAGCCATCACCACCCTGAGGCCACGCCCCCACCACCCTGAGGCCACGCCCCATCACCCGCTGGCCAGGGCAGATGCTGCCTCCGCTTACTGCCCCCCGGGGTGGGAGCGGCAGGTGCGGAGCTGGGCGTGTCCCGCGGACCCGGTTGACAGCAGGTCTTGTCTCAGGCCTGCAGGTACGGGCACGTGCAGCACCTGGAGCACCTGCTCTTCTACGGGGCGGACATGGGGGCGCAGAACGCCTCTGGGAACACGGCCCTGCACATCTGCGCCCTCTACAACCAGGTCAGTGTGGCACACCCACCTTCCACAGCCAGGGCGGGGAGCAGTGTGTGTGGGGGTGCTCTGTTCCCTGGAGGAACAGAGGGCGGACCCTGATTAGGGTGACTGCTGGGGGTCCCAAGGGTGTCCTCTGCCACCAACAAACGGTATCTTCCCAGCCCAGTCAGTGCTTCCGTCTTTTGGGGTGAAATCTCCAGCCTTTTCCTGAAACCAGGCCCTTTCCCTGCCCAGTCCATGGGCACACCCCCACCCAGGCCTTTCCAGCCACTTTGAAATCCCAGTTTGCTTCTAGCTGTCAACTCCCACACATCCTTCAAGACCCCATTCAGGTAGCCCGCCCTCCGTCAAGCCTCCCCTGGACGAGCTCCTCATAGCGCCAGCCCTGGTTCTCGCTGCGCAGTGCTTTGCAGGACCGCCCGGTGAACATTGTGACCCCCTGTTCTTCCTGTTGGCACCCCCCCCCCTGCCTTGGGCCCCTCTTCTCAGGGGCATGAACAGCCGTGGCTCGTGGTCTCCACATGGCCAGGCACCACGGGGAGCAGCTCAGCCTGCTGGGCAGGGAGCATCTCAGCGGAGCTTCAGGAAGTATTGGCAGGGCGGGGCCTGGCTTCCTGCTTATGGAGGCGACCCCCCCGCGCCCCCCCCCCCCCCCCCCCCCGCAGTGGGGTTTGTGTGCAGCCGGGGCGCTCCCCGGGGGACCCTGGTGTCTGCATGGGAGTAGCTGTGTGAGCCTGGGTGCCTTGCCCAGCTGCTCTAGGAAAGCGCGCCCCGAGACTTGGCCACAGCTGGTAGAACATCTGTGCCAACATGTGCTTCTCACTGCCCGCGACAGGGAACAGTGCTCTGTGGTCCCCGGGCGGTTTTGCGTGTGCTTCATCCTGACACAAGCACCGGGTAAACATGCTTGCTGTCACTTGAAATAATTGTGGCCGCGATGTGCTGGGGCTCGTTCCAGCGTGAAGATGCGCCCAGCAATCTGGGGAAAGGCTGTGTGCAGATCAAATAGGAGTCCGGAGACGAAAGATAAATTTGAAAGGCATGGGGGGGGGCGGGGGAGGGTGTCCGAGGAGCTTTAGCTAAAGGAGCTAAGTTCTTGTCTCAGGACCCCTTGCTTTTTCTTAACACAATTTGTCCTAAGGCAAGGTGGAGACACACACTTCAAGCGGTAGGGTTCCGTACAGAAGCAGTGTCAGATTGGGGAATTGCCGTCAGCTGCTCAGGGTTTAGCCAACAGGAGGCAATAACTAGATAGAGGTGCCCTGAGCTGTCTGGCAGCAAACAATCATCCTATTCAGGTTTGGGGGACGTGCCTTTTAGCCATTCCAGCAGGTGATTACTCATGTGACTCAGCCCTTGTTGAGCCCCCAAGTTCCATCCACCTTTTGGTGAAACTTGTAATTATGACATGCTGGAACTGGCTTCCGCCAAAGATGGCCTCTGAGCGTGGGGTGGTTCCACGGACAGAGGCACGGTGTTTCTGTCATCCCAGCCTGTGATGGGCGGGGCTCGGTGTGACCCATGTCCCTGCTCAGGTCTGTCCTACCTCTTGGCCGAGGGCTCCAGGAGGACCCAGAGCTGGCCGGGCTCTCAGGAAAGCCCTGCTCCAGGCACCATAGGTTAGAGGAGGGGTCCGCGAACCCTCTCTGCAGAGGCCACAGGGCCAGGGCCACGGGGCCACGGCCACGCTGCTCTGCCGCTGAGGAGGGCAGCCATGGACTGCACTAGATGACTGTGTGGCTGTGTGCCAGTAAAACTTTATTTACAAAGCAGGCAGCGGCCCGCTTGAGCCTGCTAGGGGTGTCGAACTCAATCAGAGAAGGGGCCAAAATCTAAAATCCAGCCTAAATCGCGGGCCGAATGGTTTACTGAACAGTCATAAACTGTCATTGTGATGGAAACGCAGCGGAGTGCAGTGATGACAGCGCGGTGCGGGCCACATTGCAAGGCCTGGCGGGACGGATTTGGCCCTCGGGCCTTGTGTTTGACACATGTGCGTAGGCCTTCGTTTGCACACCCCCTCCTGGGCATCGAGCCCACCACCTGGGCATGTGACCTGGATAGGAATAGAACCGTGACCTCCTGGTTCCTAGGCTGATGCTCACCCACTGAGCAACACCGGCCCGGAGTGTTTCACTTCTGATGAGTTTCATGCACACGCAGGACTGCAGAGTGCAGCCTTAAAAATGGGCCCCTGCGTGGCCCAGGGGTGCATATACTTTAAACTTTTATAGCTTCTGTCAAGTTGTCCCAAGTGTGTGTAGCAGTTAAACTTCAACCGGTAGCATTGGGCGTGGGCGTGGGCGTGGGGGGGGTCACCTGGTCCTGGTGGCGCGGAGGGAGGAACCCGCCCTCTCTCTAACGGTGCGTGGTTTCTCCGCATTCTCGGGAGGGAGCTTCTGCAGCCGGGGCGGGACCTGCCGCGGTGGCTCCCGAGGGATTTGTCCGTCACCCCCGGGTCCGTGTGCCCTGCAGGACAGCTGTGCGCGGGTGCTGCTGTTCCGGGGCGGCGACAAGGAGCTGAAGAACTACAACAGCCAGACCCCCTTCCAGGTGAGAAGAGCCCTCCCGGGACACCCGCACAGACGGGGCTGCGGCGGGGGGGTGGGTTCCGTGGGCCTCTGAGCATCGCGTGTGTTTGACATGAGGCCAGCTGGCTCGTGGGGGATGTCACCTGTGTTGGGAGCTGTGCCCGGCGCCTCTGTGTCCCTGGGTCCCAGGGCCGGTGGCTCCCAGAGCTCTTTCCTTCCTACCAGTGAAACTTCCAGGCTGGCCAGTGTGGCTCAGTGGACAGAGCGTCGGCCTGCAGGCCGAAGGGTCCTGGGTTCCATTCCCGGTCAGGGCACATGTCTAATTTGCAGGCTCCATCCCCAGGAGGCAACCGATCCATGATTCTCTCTCATCACAGATGTTTCTAATTCTCCCTCGCCTTTCCTCTCTGACATCAATTAAACATATTAAAACACAACACACAAAAAACACGTGGCTCCTCACCCAGAGGCGGTGCCGTGGTGCCGTGGTAGGGCCGGTGCTCTGGGGCGTGGACACGGCACAGAGTCGGCACCGCGGAAAACGGGGGCGTAATCTCGGCCTAGACACTGCTGAACCGGACTGTGTGGCAGATGAACGGTGCCCCGCCTCCCTGGCCGAGCGTCAGTGACTAAACTCAGACGGAAAGAAATCAGGACAGGTCCCTGGATTTTGCTGTTTGGACATGGGAGGCGGCCAGCCAGTGTGGTTCAGTGGTTGAGCATTAACCTAGGAACCAGAAGGTCACGGCTCTGTTCCCAGTCAGGGCATATGCCCCTATTGTGGACTCAATCCCCAGTAGGGGGCATGCAGGAGGCAGCCAATCCATGATTCTCTCTGATCATTGATGTTTCTCTCTCTCTCTCTCCCTCTCCCTCTCTCCCTCTCTCTCTCTCTCTCTCTCTCTCTCTCTCTCTCTCTCTCTCTCTCCCTCTCCCTCTCTCCCTCTCTCCCTCTCTCCCTCTCTCTCTCTCATCATTAATGTTTCTCTCTCCCTGTCCCTTCTTTGAAATCAATAAAAGTATGTTTTATTTTTTAAAAATAATTCTTAATGTTGAAAGTTTAAGTTTAAAAAATTTGGCTCTAGAAATGTCAGTCGTGGTACTGTAGATATTTGGCTCTGTGGACGAATGAGTTTGCCGACCACTGGCCTAGCAAGATGCTCTCTAGTCCCTCCGTGCTGTCTCAGAGGCTAAGAGAGCCTCCTTCTTCCTGTTGCGTGGTCTCCCCGGCACGAATGTGCCATGGAAATGGGGCGAAGCCCTGAGGAGCCGCGGACTGCGGTTGGGGGTGTGTGTGGGGGTGTGTGGGGGGCTGGGTGGAGCAGCAGCTGCACCGAGTGGGGGTGGGGTTGGCCCCTAGAAACGCCTGTCTGGGTGGACGGCATCAGGAAGGGACAACTGGACTCCATCTTAAAGAACCTCTTCACGGGTACCCCTGCCCTTCAGCATCGTCCCCGGTGGACTCCTACTCACCCTTCAAAGCCCCAGCTCCTCTGCAGGGGCGCCCTGCGGCCTCTGGCTCCTGTGTCACTCGACCTGTACCCTTTCCGTATCATGTTGGAGTGGGCGGCTCCTGCGCCAGTTCCCCCGATGTGCTGGGAAGAGGCTGCGCCGTCCCACCTTCCTGTGCCCAGTCTCTGCCTCGGCGGGTCCCTGGGAAGGCGCTGTGGCTGGGCAGAGGCTGGACACACAGCTTCCTGTAATTTCTCACTCTGGCCACTGGGTGGCAGTGTTGGCGCGGGCCAGCGGGGGCTGAGGGGGAGGCTGAGGAGGGTGGAGGGAGTTTGCAGAGACCTGTCTGCTCCTGGAGGTGAGTCCCCCATAGATCACCAACCGGAAGGAGGAGACACACTCCTGCTCGGTCGCCTGGGTGTCACCTGGGAGCCTCAGATGCCAGGCGCTGACCGCTGACATCGATTTGTCCCGGCGCCGGGGCTGGGGGAGGGCAGGTGCCGGCCGCTCCATCTCCAAATAGGACAGTGGTCACCGGGTCCTGGCACGTGGCTGCCTCCTCCCGGGCCTCACACAGACTGTGCTGGAGGCAGACAGACAGGTGAGGGGAGAGGCAGGGAGTCAGAGAGGGGGAGACAGAGATGGAGAGAGACGGGGAGACAGAGAGACGGAGACAGATGGAGAGAGAGAGATGGAGAGAGAGAGATGGAGAGTCAGAGAGATAGGGAGACAGAGGTAGGGAGACATTGAGAGATAGGGAGAAAAGAGAGATGGGGAGACAGAGAGAGATGGAGAGAGAGATGGGGAGACAGAGAGATAGGGAGACAGAGGTAGGGAGATATTGAGAGATAGGGAAAAAAGAGAGATGTTGAGACAGAGAGAGATGAAGCGAGAGAGATGGGGAGACAGAGAGATAGGGAGACAGAGGTAGGGAGACATTGAGAGATAGGGAGAAAAGAGAGATGGGGAGACAGAGAGAGATGGAGAGAGAGACGGGGAGACAGAGATGGAGACAGGGAGACAGAGAAATAGGGAGACAGAGATGGGGAGACAGAGAGACGGGGGGGGGGGGCAGAGGCTGAGAACACGCTGGTCTCCATTGCAGCTTCATGGAGATCTAGCGACGTGACCTGTGGAGTGTGACGTGTAAGACGGGGATTCACGTGTGTCACTGTCGCAGGGGCTCACCCACCAGGCGAGCTGCCTGTGCCGCGCCCCCCGCCCGTGTGTGTGGGAAGGGCTGTCCCACGCCGCGCTGTCCCACGCCGGCTGCTAACGACCTTTCCCGCTGGAACGTGGGAGCCACGTGCAGCCCTGGGCGCCCTGACCCGGGAGCTGGCCTGTGGCTGGGAGCTCAGCCCACAGCCCCTCCGAGGGCCCGAGCTGGAACCGGACCCCGTGGGACCAGGACCCCATGGGACCGGGACCCCGTGGGACCGGGACCCCGTGGGACCGGGACCCCGTGGGACCGGGACCCCGTGGGACCGGACCCCGTGGGACCGGGACCCCGTGGGACCGGGACCCCGTGGGACCGGGACCCCGTGGGACCGGGACCACATGGATCCGGGACCCCATGGGACCAGGACCACATGGCACCAGGACCACAGGGCTGCAGCCGGGCGTGCAATCGAGGACCAGTGTCCGGGAAGATCCAATGTAGAAACCGTCTGAACCTCCCCCGAACCCTGGACCAGGAGGCACATCCCTCAGAGACCACCCAGGGGGCCTCCCGGGCCGCACCCCAGCCGCACCCCCAGCCGGCAGCACTGGCGGCCCCCAGCGCCCTCCTCCCCCTACCCCCGCCCCCGACCTGGACGGAGTCTCCCCCGACGGTCCACGGGCTGAATGGGGTCCCGGTTCCATGGGGTCCTGGTCTCATGGGGTCCCGGTTCCACGGGGTCCCGGTTCCATGGGGTCCTGGTCTCATGGGGTCCCGGTTCCATGGGGTCCCGGTTCCATGGGGTCCTGGTCTCATGGGGTCCCGGTTCCATGGGGTCCCGGTTCCACAGGGTCCTGGTCCCACGGGGTCCCGGTTCCATGGGGTCCCGGTTCCATGGGGTCCTGGTCTCATGGGGTCCCGGTTCCATGGGGTCCCGGTTCCACAGGGTCCTGGTTCCACGGGGTCCTGGTTCCACGGGGTCCCGGTTCCACGGGGTCCCGGTTCCACGGGGTCCCGGTTCCACGGGGTCCCGGTCCCACGGGGTCCCGGTCCCACGGTGTCCCGGTCCCACGGGGTCCCGGTTCCACGGGGTCCCGGTCCCACGGGGTCCCGGTTCCACGGGGTCCCGGTCCCACGGGGTCCCGGTCCCATGGGGTCCCGGTTCCACGGGGTCCCGGTCCACGGGGTCCCGGTTCACGGGGTCCGGTTCCACGGGGTCCCGGTTCCACGGGTCCCGGTTCCACGGGGTCACGGTTCCACTGGGGTCCCGGTCCAGGGGTCCGGTCCATGGTGTCCGGTTCCATGGGGTCCCGGTTCCACGGGGTCCCGGTTCCCCGGGAGGAGGGGGAGTCATGGCTTCCAAGGTCTACCTCGGCCGGGTCTTGGGAGAACAGGGTCGGGCCGGTGAGCTGGCCGGTCAGTCCCTGCCCTGACGTGGCGCGGGCCCACCCTGTTCTCGGTTGTCGTTGTGGTCTCTCCGTCTGTCCCCGTGGGCTCCGGGCTCGTGCTGAAGGGCGTTGCTAAGGGTGTGGGCGGCGTGTGCGTCTGCTCACACGTGCGGCCGATTTGGCGGCGGCAGCAGCAGCATCAGCGGCAGGCGCAGCTGGCAGTCTGTTGGCATCGAGGTGTCCGCGCAGGGACCCGGGCCCCTGGGCACAGACACCAGCCTGTTCATTGTGGCTTCAGGACCAGGCATGAGCCCTGACCGGAATCGAGCCCGGGACCCTTCAGTCTGCAGGCCGACGCTCTACCCACTGAGCCAACCGGCCAGGGCTTTTTTTTTTTTTTTTTTTTTTTTAAAGGCCCCGATCGGCTCGTTTGCTGTCGCGGCGCGGTGGCCGCTCTCAGCCGTAACGCCTTCCTCTCCCACAGGTGGCGATCATCGCGGGCAACTTCGAGCTGGCGGAGTACATCAGGAGCCACAAGGAGACCGACGTGGGTGCGTGGGGCCAGGGCGGGCTGGCGGGCGGGGCCAAGGCGGGCGGCGTGGGCGGAGCCCTCTCCATCCCCCCATCCTCCTCGGACGGGCCGAGTCTGAGCTTAGCCACGCGGCAGAGAGCGGAGAGGCGATGCGTCCGGCCTGTGCCGGGGCCACCTCGTGGCCGGTCGGGCTTGGGACCCACGAGTCAGGGCAGGAAGTGGGCGAAGTGGCCTCAGGATGGGCCGGACCCCGACGGGTTCACTAGAAGGTTCTGCCACACACCCGCCTCCACAGACTCCGCTTCCCAGCGTGGGGCCAGGCCCATGGGGGGCCACGTGCCGTGTAAGGGGGCAACGTGAGAACACGTCACTCACAGGGAGCCTTCCATGTCTGTGGCCCTGGGGCCTCACGGACAGCATATAAGCACATGTGGTGACACGTGTGTGCATTCCAGGTCTCTATGGTGTGTTTCCAAGCTTTATTTGCTATTTTTCTTATCGCTTCCTATTATTATTATTTTTAAACAGTTTCTTAGGGATTCCTCCCTCAGGACTTCGCTGTCCTTGGTTCTGATTTTTCTCCTTCGTGGAGGCCCTGCTCTTGGGAAACTTGTTTGGACCAAGTTCACGGCCCTTCAGGCTTCCTCACGGGAACAGGGGTTCGCTTTTTGAATAGTAGGAATTATGGGGGGGGGGCATCAGGATTTGAGAGACGCTTAGGTGGGTGGGACCAGAAAAGGCGGGGACCGCTGACCGACAGAGAGAGGCGGCGACTGGGTGAGGCCAGATGGGCCGGGGGCACCCCTCCGCCCTCCTGGCATCGTCCCACCCGGTGCCGCCCGCCGCCCGCTGACCCCCGCTCCCTTCCAGTGCCCCTCATGCCAACCAGGAGGACCGTCTCCGGGGCACCTCCTCCCTCCCGCTGCCCCTCCGGCGGCTGGGCCCCGCCCTGCATCGCGGAGGAGCCGGCTGGCCTGTGTCCCCCGGCCCCGGGCCTGCACAGGAGCTGCAGCGGGGAGCAGGCCCCCTGGACCGGCAGCGGTGAGCGTCCGCGATGGGTGGCACCATCCCATCGAGGGGGGGCTCCCGGCGCCCGGAGAGGTGGCCGGTGCGCTGTGTGTCCCTGCCTGCGCCCTCGCCCTGCGGAAGGTGTCGGGTCTGCGCCGTGCGGTGTGGCTGGTCCCCCCGCCTCTGGGAGCTGCCCGGCCGAGCATCCTCTCCCCGCGCGGCTGCATGAGCCCTCCTGGGAGCCGGCCCGAGCCGTGGCTCTGAGGCCCAGCCATGCCACGCCACGGCGGGCAGCACCGCCGAGGGGCACCGCGGAGCCGCATGCGCAGGGTCTGCAAAGGGGCTCAGCAGGTGCAGTGGCTCAGTCCCGCCACCTCCCCGGCCCCAGAGAGCAGGACAGGACACGGCGTCTGGCCTCAGAACGCCGCCGCCGCTGCCCGGGCCACCTCACTGTCCTGCTTAGCGCCTCCTTGAGTAGGGCGCCCCCCGTGGGGGGAGGCGGGACGTGGCTCCCTTCCCTGGCCCCGGAAAGGAGCTGAGCAACTCTGGGCACTGTGGTCCCGGCCTCCAGCCCTGCCCTGGACCCCCAGTCCTCGCCAGCCCCCCTCAAGCTCAGGACCCGCCTCTGACCTGTCCCCCGCGAACACCACCTCCAGCGGCGCCAGGCCACGCGGGGGCGCCGAGGGGCCTTTAGAGCGCAGGACGGGGCGGCTCCTGGCTGGTCTCTCCCCTTTGGGGTGTAAGGAGCCTTTCTACCCGGAGGCCGACTGCCTTCCCACGCAGAGGGCTCGGGCTGAGGACAGAAGCAAGACCTGCTGGCTGCTGGACACGTTAGTGACCCAGAGACGGGACACAGTGTAGCTACGACTCGCCTTCTGGTCCCCTGACAGGGGCACCCCGCGGGCTGCTGTGATCTCCACGGGCCTTTTATTTGCCCCCGGGGAGCAGGTGGCGGTTCAGTGAACACCCGCCCGCCGGCGGCTGAGGGCAGAGCCCCGTCTCAGGAGGGGTGCTTGGCTGCTGCAGGCGGAGGCCCCCACCCCAGGCTGGGGCAGGGGAGCGCGTCCCTGCGGTCACGGGGAGGTTAACGGCGGTGCCGGCGGATAAGCTCCGGGATAACCCGGTTTCCCTCCGCTGAGTGTTTGTGATTGTGATTGTGCCGGCTTCGGGGGCGGCGCAGGCAGATGGCGGCGATGACATGGGCTGCTTCTCCTCAGCCGGGCGAGGTCGGTGTCCGCGCCTGTCCTTCCGTGCGTCTGTCCTCGCGGCTACACCCCTTCCCCTCCCGTGCGCTCCCTGAGCCGGTGTGAGCCGGTGTGAGCCGGTGTGAGCCGGTGTGAGCCGGGCTCCGATGAGCCCGCGGAGGGCGCTTGGTTACCGTTGCTAGGCTTCGGGACGGCGCCGGTAATTACGCTTCGGAGACCGGGCTGGTGCGTGGAGGGGGTGGTGCTTTCACACGGATTTCTCAATGCAAGGGGGCGGGTGGTGCGTGTGCGTGTTCGTGGGCGTGTATGCGTCTGCGTGTGCATGCGTGTTTATGGGAGGGGAGGTGCACCATGCCGTGCGGAGGGAGGTGTGTTTGGGAAGCTGCTGTGGGGAGGGAAACGGATCCGATCGACAGGGGCTGCTGACCGGGTCGCAGGCGCTGGCGGGAGGCAGACACGGCTCCTTTGTGTTCGCGGGGACGGCCCGCAGTCCCGGGGCCCGGCCCTGAGCCGTGTCCTCTCGCAGATCTGCCGATCCGGGCCGGCACCGCCCGGGCCCTCTGTGTGCGCCCGGTCGCCGGGCTGGGGTTTGGCTGGAGGGAGGCAGGCACCACACCGCTCTGGTCCACGCTCCCTGAGGCCGTTTTCAACGCTGGAGCCCTGGCCGGTGTGGCTCAGTGGATGGACCTGCGTTCGGTCCCAGGGCACGCTCCTGGACCCGGCCGGGCGTGTGCAGGAGGCAGCAGACACGCGCTTCTTTCCCATCGACGCTCCTCTGTCTCCCCCTCCCCCTCCCGCTCTCGAAAATCCCGGGGGAGTATCCGGGTGAGGAGTAATACGCAGGACGACGGGCGGCCCTGCAGACCAGCTGCACACGGCCCTCCCCGCCGCCTCACCGGCACCCGCGCTGTGGGTGCTGATGTGGCCGTTCTGATGGGTGTGAGGGGACCCTCCCCCCATTGTCCCTTCAGTTGATGGCAGGCCTGGACCCGCCGTGGACACGAGCCGCCCGGGGGTGCCAGGCCCCCCAAGGGACGAGCCACCGTGGGGGGGTCTGTGCACCCTCGGGGCTCACAGGAGTGTCCCTGTGTGTCCTGCTTGGGTCTCAGCCATGTCTGCTCCCCGGTTCTCTGCACCCCACCCTGTTTCTGGGCCGTCCCTGTCCCAGCTTCCCCCCCACCCCACTCGCCCCGGCCTGGATGCTCACCTCCCACCTCTCACAGCGGCGGGCCAGGCTCCTGCCTCCCTCCCCAGAGCCGGGGCCGCTGGTCGAGGGCCGCACGGGGGGGCGGGGGAATGCTGAAAGGGCGGACACTGTTCCCTGCCAGGGCCGGAGTCGGGGTCGGGCTATAGCAGGTTGGGTCTGGTGACGGCCCCTCGCGATGCACTTCTGCTCTCACGTGGTGGAGACAGGGCCAGCGGCCATTGCTGCTTCTTGCATTGGGGCCACCTCCGTGGCCTCCGAGGGCTGCACCCCAGATACTAGCTCAGTGGGATCAGGGTTCTTTTTGTGTGTGTGTGTGTGTGTGTGTGTGTGTGTGTGTTTTAAAGTGTTTCTTTTTTCCTAACATTCTTTAACACTATAAGATAGTTAATTTTCTTTTTTCCCCCCTTTTAAAAAATAAATATATTTTATTGATTTTTTTACAGAAAGGAGGAGAGAGGGATAGAGAGCTAGAAACATCAATGAGAGAGAAACATCGACCAGCTGCCTCTTGCACACCCCCTACCAGGGATGTGCCCGCAACCACTGTACACGCCCTTGACTGGAATCGAACCCGGGACCTTTCAGTCCGCAGGCGGATGCTCTATCCCCTGATCCATACTGGCCAGGGCTGTTTTTATTGGTTTCAGAGAGGAAGGGAGAAGGAGCAAGAGAACATCAATGACAAGAGAGAATCATTGATCGGTTGCCTACCGTGTGCTCCCCATGGGGATCCAGCCCACAACCCGGGCCTGTGCCCTGACTGGGAATCGAACCCTGATCTCCTGGTTCCTAGGTCCATGCTCAGCCCTTGAGCCAGGCTGCTGGGCGCCTCCTCTTCCCTCAGATGCCCGTCCTGCTGGGTGAGGCCCTCGCTCACTGCCCTCAGGGGCCTGCTCTCGGGAACCTCACCCCAGGCCCTGGGGGAGGACTGTGACCCGTCACATTCCTGGTGTGGGTGCCAGGTGCTCTCAGAGGAGGTTGGTGTGTGAGGGGCGCCCGCCTGCCCGCGGCCCCGGGGTTCCCAAACCGCGAATGCGCTGGCCCCGCCCTGGAAGCAGCATTGGTGTGGGGGCTGGTGGGCGAGCGCGGGGGAAAAGGGACCCCCCGAGGATCCCAAATTTCACAGCGTGTGTCTGGGTGACCCCAGCGTCCAGGACACCCGCAGAGGACGCCCTTGGCCGGCCGAGGCTCGGACTTCCGTGGCCCAGGCTGGGCCCAGCTGTGCGCCCGGCACCGGGCAGGTGGCCGAGCTCCTGGGGAGGCAGCACCCAGAGTGCACCCCTGCGGGCCGCGGGCACGGCCATCTTCAGGCCAGGCCTGGCTCCCCTGGGGTCTGGCCCCTCGACCCCGTGCTTTCCATCTCTGCTGCCTGTGCCCCTGGGGGTGGGCATCCGGCTCTCCGGGGCCTGCTCAGGCCCCTCGTCTGATGTGACACCCGCCCTTGGCGGCTCCTGGGCAGCAGCCCTGCCCTCCTCCCGAGCTGGGGGGTGGGGGTCCCCGCCTGAGCCAGGACCACGTGCAGGTGGCCTGCCGCTCTGAGCCGCAGGGAGGGCCCGGTGAGAGCCGCCGGCTCTGAGCCGCAGGGAGGGCCCGGTGAGAGCCGCCGGCTCTGAGCCGCAGGGAGGGCCCGGTGAGAGCCGCCGGCTCTGAGCCGCAGGGAGGGCCCGGTGAGAGCCGCCGGCTCTGAGCCGCAGGGAGGGCCCGGTGAGAGCCGCCGGCTCTGTGCCGCTGTCGGGGAGGGCCCGGTGAGAGCGGCCGGCTCTGTGCCGCTGTTGGGGAGGGGCCCGGTGAGAGCCGCCGGCTCTGTGCCGCAGGGAGGGGCCGGGTGAGAGCGGCCGGCTCTGAGCCGCAGGGAGGGCCCGGTGAGAGCCGCAGGGAGGGCCCGGTGAGAGCCGCCGGCTCTGTGCCGCTGTCGGGGAGGGGATTGCACAGGAGCTTGGTGTTTTTCTCACCAATTTTCATCTGAAACACCTGCTTTCCACCAAGGAAGGGTTTTGATGAGAATCTGATTGGAACCGGGTTTGACTGTGTTCAGGGCGGCGGGGCTGGGATTTCCTCTCGTCTGGAGGCGGGAGGCCCAGCCCGCCCCAGCTGGCTTACCTCCGAGAAGGAGGGCGATGGCATTTCCGTGCTAACAGCGCCGAGGCCCGAGCTCCAGCCTGGCTGCCCGAGAGCCGGGCCCCCAGCACCTCTGACAGGACGGCGGGGAGGGCGCCGCGGCGGGTGGGGGGCCGGCTTCTGTGTGAGGGGACGAGAGGCTCGGGGAGGGCTTTTGCCAGAACCCACTTCCATGGTGGGCTCTCGAACCCGGGGCCTGATGGCAGCGCCCGGCGGTGTCTGCCCTCGGACCCTCAGAGTTTGGGCGCGGAGCACGTCAGTGCTCCCTCACCCACGGCCCACGTGCAGCCAGAAGCTGAGGGCGCCGCGGGTCTCCCCCGGGTTCTGGGAGAGAGTGGGCTCGGGCTCCTGGGGGTAGGGGGGTGGGAACGAAGGGGAATCCTGCAATGACTCACACACTGAGCGCCCACCTCCCCCGAGAACAGGCAGACAGCTCCTGAGGCTGGTTCATTCACGACCTGATCCCGAGTGGCTGGCACCCAGCAGGCGCTCATACTTGTTGG